GACTTGCCACGGTCTCCAACCCTCCTCCTTTCTCATCCGGGCTTGGGACCGGCCATGGCGGAGTTTTAATTTTTCAGTTTTTAAATTTTTTTCAGTTTTTAAAAGTACTATGTGATAGGTGAAGGCTGATATAGGTTTTTGGCACATCAACATGCTGTGTACGGAGACGTGCGCAGTCGCTCAGGCGTTTTTAAAAAACGTCTTCGGCTTTCGTGGCAACTTTCTCTGTTTGGCACTACAGCCTCCGGAATGACGCATCAGTATCAAACACGTGTTTCCGCTGGAGGATAAGCGATGTCGGTCACAGTCGACAAACTGATTGTTTTTTTGTGTTCACAGTTTTAAGCGATTTTCTCGAACTTCCTTTGCTGGTGGTTCCTACCGTAGGCACATAATATGCTGGTTAATTTCTGCCCATAAAATTTTCTCTGAAAACAGGAAATGAAGTTTGCTAGATTGTTTTTTAGTAGTTTCCTGTTTACAGCACATTCTTTCTGGTCCAGTCTTAGTAAGAGTTTTAATTATGGTTTCTCTTTTATACCGTTGCGACATATAGGTTGGCGTTGCAGGTGCTCAGATTCCGCGAACTAGTTCCTTGCATAATTACCCTCTCCCCAGCCAACTAGAACGAAGTTTTGCCGTGAAATCTAGTCTTGGAGGAAATAAGTGTTATATAAAGTACCCCGGCGTACAAAATTTTATTAATATTTATACTGCTACTCTAAGGTTTAAGTACATATAGTGCTAAATATTAAGGCAACAAAAAATAGTAATCAATAAATATTCCTTCATTCCGATTCTTGAGTCGATCTTTAATAACTGGCTTGGATTACTTGTTCAGCCGACCGTAACCGATGTCGATTATGCTTAAATTACGATTAGTTCTTTGCCTTTTCATTCGTCCGTCAAAAATCGGTCCTTCGTGATTCTAAATTTCTTGGCCAGAAATAGACGTCGACAACCTTTATTAGTACTGTTTGCACACTGAGATGGGGCGGTAGCACAAGTCATCAGCTGTTGGCATTTTTGCAGAGTGGTTAAATGTAATGAGCCCAAAACAGACGGTTTGTTTTTCGTACCTCTTCAGGATGGAGTTTCAGATATTCACGTTTGTTTTCGTTTTAGGCTGAGACGTCTGTCGATTCGGACCGGCAGAAGTGCTTGAATGTATAGCTTTTTTGCCGTTTTGCTACTGTTTGATCTGTGATATTATGGTTTAGCAGAAAAACCTTAATAAAGATAGCTGTGATTACGAAAAGCAGTACGATCTTGGAAGCCTGACCAAAGAAGACCTGCTAGAAGAGAACGCCGCCCTGCGAATGCAGATCGCGTTCTTAAAGGAGCAGATTGAAGAGCAGGAAGGCAGAAGGCTTTCCTCGCCGGCCGTCAACTCAGTAAACACCGTTGACAGCAAGGTGAGTGTTTCGATTGGCGATTGAGTCAACCGACCATTCGCATCGAAACCAGCATGCCCTGTTTCGCAACGCGTATCGTTCCAGGATTCGCCTGTGCAGACGGACAACGATCTTTTGCTGAACAACGGAGCTGCTGTCAACGGCTGCGACAAGCCGGTTCTCAACTGTTTTTCCAAAACGTGCAGGTAAATTAAATAAAAAATGTATTAAACAATTCGATAATTGTTCTTCTAGAACTGACCTGTAAGGCAGTCGTCGACTATCAGACCAGAAAACCTGACTGGCCCTACTCCTTCGAAGACACGGATCGTCGACGAATTTCGTCAAGAGTTCGCTTTTCGGCCAATCGAGCGATCCGTACTTCAAACAATAGTGAAACGTCATCTGTTCGTTCTTTTTATTCACTTTGTGTACTTCTTTGGTCGTGCCTCCTACTTTGCATGCCGTTCGTTTAGTTGTCCATGTTTTATACGGTTTTAGCAATTTAATATGTATATTAAAAAGTTTTCGACTTGTTATTATTACTTGTAAAAAATGTTTTCATGGGTATGAAATCTGTGAGTTGCGGAAAACAGTTTAGCTCAAGATTAATTTGTTCAATTAATCTGACATTTCAAAGTGCAGGTACACTGAAAAATTTAATTGCTTTTTAGGCGGTTAGATGTGAAATTAGATCCAAAGTGAATTATTAAGTCGGCAACATTCTTTCTGACCACTGACTAACGATATGAAGCGCGATAATTGGCCAAGTGCATTGTTGTTGTTGTTTGTCAATGT